ACAAAGTGAGTTCCAGGACAACTAAGACTGTTATACAGAGAAACCCAGTCTTGAAGAATCAAAAAAAAAAAAAGAAGAGAAAAGAGGAGAGGAGAAGAGAGGAGACGGGAGGGGAGGGGAGGGGAGGGGTGGGGAGGGGAGGGGAGGGAAAGAATGTCAGACAGCAAGTTGGCAGAGGGAAGGAGGAGAGCAGAGAAGAAAGGAGGCGGGAAAAGAGGACAGGAGGGACAGGAGGAGGGAAGACTCTGTTATCTGTCCTAGTACATGGGTTGAACTGTGCCTTGTTCTCTTACACTGAATTAGTAATCCACACTGAGAATGGGAACTCAGTTGGACAAACAGCCGCTGCAAAGGAAATCAAGTCATTAGAGTAGACTCAAATCCAGTATGATTACTATCCACATAAAAGGGGAAATTTAGACCCACATACAAATACAAGAGATTCATGGAGAAGGTAGCCCATTTATAACCCAAGCAAAGCACTCTGGAACAGACCTCTTGCTTATAACCCTCATAGGAGGAGCCGGGTCTGCTTATGCCCTCATTAAAGAATTCTAGCCTCCAGAACTGTGAGACCTCTCTGATGTTTAAACCACCTGCTAAGTGGTGCTGTTGCAGTAGTCCTAGAGAACTACAGTACTTAGAAAAAGCTGACCTTGTAATGGTAAGTCCTGATTCAATTCTTAATTCCATTTCTCTAGTAGCCTTGAAAACCCAATGGTTGGAAACTACAGCAGAGCTAATAGCCTGGCAGCCACTAGAGGGAGTAAAGAGTTTTGGATGCCCACAATTTTTTTTCTCTCAGAGGATCTGTCTAAGAGTTTCTTAAAAGACCCTCTGGCCAGTTTTAGTGGATTTTATATAGTATACTGGATTATATAGTTCGATACAGTGAAATAATTGCAGGAAGCACATTACTTAAATGTTTAAAAAAACATTTGGAAACTTGAAAAATTCTAACACGTTTCAGAGAATGAAACACCAGGGTTATGCACAGGCATGGGCACGTGTCCAGCACTGTGCACGTTCATGGAAACACTAAATTCTCACCTCCGAATGAAATTGAGGCCTAGACAGCTTAAACATAACTGTACCTGCCTGGACGGAAACTAAAGTTATGCCCCCCAAAAGTCATGGAGAACCCCCAGGAAAGAAAAAAGACTAGCTGGTGAAAAGTGTTTAAATTTCTGGCTAAACTGTAGCCTAAATTAATTGATAGAGACCTCAATATTAATGATCAAATAAATAAAATCAGGCACCACCATATCTTGAGGAGACAAAATAATCTTATTTTCAGAATCATTATGTTATATCATTTTAAATATCCTGTTTTCAAATAAAAAACACACAAAAAGATCCAAGAAATATGCATGTAAAACATAGAAGATAATTGACACTAACTTTTAAAAAGAACAAATATTTGCCTCAACTGGTAAGAATACTGAATTCGCTATTTTAAGTATAAGCCAAGAAAACCATACCTAAAATAGCAATAAAAATATGGGATGCAGTCACTTCAAATAGAGAATATCAATGAAAAGATCCTAAAGAACCGGAAGAAACTGCCAATGGAAACGTGTAATAACTGAAATGAAAACCCTCATCTCTGGGACCAGCAGGAGACTCGGCAGTCAGGAGGAAGAGAGGTCTTTAAGGAAAGCCACCTGGGGATCCGGGCTGAGAGACATGGGAGTGAAAACAAAGATTTATGAGCCATGGCGTGACCTAAGGGAACTCATCAGAGCTCCAGAGTCCTGGGAAAGGTAGGGGAAAGATACAAACAATGTTTGAAGAAACTGTTATTTAAAATTCCCCCAAATCTACAAATATCATACATCTTCAAATTTACGATCACTGAATGAGTTCAGCAGGGCAAAACCCAAGAAGAAACACATCCACGCACTTCACGATCCATCAAAATCTATAAAAAAGGAGAAACATAAAAAGAGAAGTAACTAGTTTATATAAGTGATCCTTAAATAGTAGTTTGTTTCTCATTTTTCTTTGAAGAACATGATTAAATATAAAAATCTAAGTAAGCTTAAAAGCATAATTAATCACTATAAAAATATATTTCTATAAATGCCAGAACCAGATAGATTCACCAGCAAATTGTATCAAATAATTAAAGTAAAATAAACAATAATCCTTCACAAACTGTTTCAAACAATATGAAGAGGAAATATACCAGAGTCTATTCTACAAAGTTGCCATCACCCTGACACTAAAATGAAATGCTCAAGGACACTACAAGTCTTTATGAAACATCAACCTCACAGTACCTGCAGTCAAATCCAACATCACAGAAAAGGACTATATCATCATCAACCAGAGAGAACATGGTTCATCAGGGAAAGGCACTTCCTACCATGCCTGGCAAATTGAATTCAGTTTTCAGGACCCACATAATTGAAGGAGAGGACCAACTCCTTTAAGTTGTCCTCTGACTCCACACACAGGTCATAGCATTCATGCATATCCCTCCTTGCCCCCCCCCAGATATACAAATGATAAATAAATAATTGTTTTGGTACAAACAAGACATTACATCATGATCAACTGAAATGTATTACAAAAATCTAAGGCTATTTCAAAATATAAAAACCAATCAAAATAAAGCATCATATCAATATAATAAACAAAACTAAATGATAGTTTCCACAGATGTAGGAAGACAATTTAATAAAAGTCCAACACCCTTCACAGTGAAAACACTCAACAAACAGGAACAGAAGGAATCATCTTCACCCTGACTAAGAACATCTTTAAAAACAGGTAGCATTATGCTGAATATTCATAAACTGAGACATTCTCTTTCCCCTAAGATGGAGGCAACACAAAGCCATTTGTTATAATGAGTATTGGTGAAGTTCTACATGAGGCAACTTGTAAGAAAAAATTGCATTCACACTGGAAACAAAAACATACAACTGACTTCAGGTGTCATACTTTGCATGGAAAATACTACAAAATACCCCCCCAAAAAACTAATAAATTATGTAAGTGGAAGGTATGATATCAATACAAAAATGCTAATAGCATGTCTATAATCTGACCATAAACAATGTAAAACTAGCTAAATTAAATTCTTTCATTTAAATGAAATAAACATTAAATGAATAAGTAGGAAGAAACAATAGAACTATAAAACTTATATTTGGAAAACTACAACATGAAGATAAATTAGGTTTAAATAAATATGAAGGTACTTAATGTTCACTGAGTGAAAGAATTAATAAGAGGCAAAAATAATCTATAGATTCAGTTCAACTCCTATTTTAAAAGCCTGATGTACTTTTTGTTGAAATTATTATATTGATTATAGAATTAATGTGGAATTGAAAAGGATCCATAGTAGCAACAAAAAAATCTTAAAAATTGAGGGCTTCACATTTACTCACTTAAAAACTCACTATGAAGCAACAACAATCCAAACATTAAAGGTGTTGGCATAAGAAACAGAAAGGCAGACCACTAACCCCACAGCCATAGCTAATTGCTTTCAATAAGAGACTTCAACAACACAACAGCAATACAGTAAACGATCAAAAGCAAAAACTAACTCAGAATGGATCATAGTGAAGACGCTGAAACTTTTAAAAGGAAAGAATAAACTAAGACTATCAAAGTTTAAAATGTACTTTTCAAAAGATTTCAAAAGTAAAAACATAACTCACAGAATGGGAGGAAATGTAAGTCATGTTTAAAAAGTGCCCAACAGCCGGGTGTTGGTGGCGCACGCCTTTAATCCCAGCACTCGGGAGGCAGAGGCAGGCGGATCTCTGTAAGTTCGAGACCAGCCTGGACTACCAAGCGAGTTCCAGGACAGCCTCCAAAGCCACAGAGAAACCCTGTCTCGAAAAACCAAAAAAAAAAAAAAAAGTGCCCAACAGTCAGGATACTGTACAGTATTACACACAGTATTAATACAGAATAAAGAACTCTACTACGCAACAAAAGGTAAGAGCCAGACATGGTCTCAAATGGGCATTCTTGCAGAAAGATACCTGTACTATATACATGGTATATGTTGGTTTTTGTTGAGTGAGTTGTAGAGAAAAAGGACCTCATTAGTCGTCAGGAGCAGACAACTCAAAACCACAATAAGCTATCATTTCACACAAAACTAGGATGGTGGTAATCAGAACAGATGGACAGTAACAAGCGTTGATGTGAATGTTAGGAAGTCTGGATCTTCGTCCACTGCTGCTAGGAAGGAAAGCTAATTCAGACCCTCTGCAAAGTGTTTTAGCAGTTCTTCAGTAAGTTGAACATATCATTGATACATTTGCCATAAATTATTCTCCTAAGATACACTTAAGAGAAGTGAAAACAAACATTCATATACAAAAGAGCATTATTCAGCTATAAAAAGGAATAAAGTACTTATATAATCTCAAAAAAGCCCACACAAACTGTGGTTTTACTTAAGCCCAGAACAGCAAATATCAGTCAGAAAGTGTTGGCAGTGTGCAGGGGCTGGGACTACTTGCTCAATGAGCGTAGGAACTCTGTTATAATATGATGGTGATGTGGAATTAGACAGTTCTGATGTCTACCTGTCAACAAACTAAAAAAATTAAAGAAGGTGTTGCCGTAGCAAATGAAATTAACTCATAAAATCCCAAAAAGTTACAGCTGCTGTGTCTCATGTGAATACCCTGAAAACATATCCAAAACCTTTATAGCGTTTAAGATCTCAATTGAAAATTGTGTTAGCATACTTAAGCTTTCCACATTTGCTATTATAGTGAGTAGTGTATCTGCTACAAGTCAAAGCACTATAGGAAACTTTAGTTAACTTTAAGAAATAACTTTTCTTTGCACACAGAATGACTTGGATGACTCCAGCTCTACAGAAACCACTTTAATTCAGCTCTGCAGAAGGAAACTGACTTCGAGAACGAGAGTAACTGGGGAACATTAGCCTTTCAACAGGACTGTTAAATTGTAAACACAAGCTAGTAACATTCTATTACTGAAAAGCTATTCATGAGTACCCGGAAAATGTGATGATCCCACTATTTTCAGTGAATCTTGAGTCAATCGAAAACTTCTTGGCAATCGAGCCAAATATCCAACTATGAAAAACAAAAAGAAAAGAAACTATCTAAGTTTGTCTTGTAAAAATATTAAAGTAAGATTATCTTGTCTCCACATAAGAAGTATAAATCAGTCTCTACGATGTGTTATCCTCTGCTTTGCATATTCCTTAAAGAATGCAATATACTTAAAACTTACCTGTGTTAAAAATCTTAACCCAGCCTTTCTGTGCTTACTTACGATACTCTCCCACCTTACAGGAGCCAAATCACAATCCCTTCCTCCCTCAAATCCCCACCTGACCTCATTACTCAGCGATCATGGAACTTAACTGGCATCTCTCTTTAGCAACCTACAATAGGATGCAGTTATTCATACACATACATTATTGATGGGAGCCCAGTGTTTAAGTCAACTTAACAAGAATCACTTGCAAGCACCTCATCTTTGATGTGGAAACTATTAAAATAACTATGAAAAACATCCTGCTAGTCTCCATTCATTGTTGAATGAACACATATGACGGCCCGATGCTGTCAACAGAATGAACGCGAGAGCACCGCAATGACTGTAAAGCATTAACCCCAGCAAGTGTAAAGCAGAGATCACGGCATTAAAGGCTGGAGTGGAGTTTAATGCAAATTCTGCCACATACTGAAATCGAGGAAAGTTACTTTCAACCACCAGTTTGAGGGTTTCATCTGTAAATTGAAATTGACAGTAATTACAATCTTGCATGTGTATCATAGGAGCTGTGAAGTGCTATATAAACCTCAGCCTTTACTACTCAGAATTTACAAGTCATGATACTAAGTGCTTATCCTTATTTTGATAGTCCTCATTGGAGAAAAGGAAAGCCAGGCAAGATTTTAAAACAAAAACACAAGCTTTCAGTAGCAGGTATAAGGCCATAGTCAAATGCATCTTTCTTAGACAGATTAGACAATTTATCCTCACAGAAGTATCTTTGCACCAAACACCTGGTCGTTATATAAGGAGTAATCCTTACCTCCCCCCACACACACACCCGCCGCCGCTGCCCCATAGTGTCCTAGTTTCTTTCTGTTGCTGTGACAAACACGATGCCCAAAATCAGCATGGAAGGGGGTGTAGAGAGAGCTTATTTAACTTTGCAGGTTATACATCATCCAAGGAAACCAAGGCAAGGACTCAAGACCAAACCTGGAGGCAGGGAGTGCAGCAAAAGCATGGAGAAGCAATGCTTGCTGGCTGGCTTCCTCTGCTTTCTTACACAGCCCAGGACCGCCTGGCCAGCATGGCACCACCTCCCACATCAAAAACAATTAAGAAAATGCCCCCACCGACAAGCTCACGGGTCAATCTTACAGAGTCAAATCTTCAATTGAGGGTTCCTACTCCCACGTGCCTATAGTTCATGCTAAGTTAACAAAAACTAGCGAGCACGCCCCCATCTTTCCCTTCCCCTCCCTATCCTATCTTCACATTCCTTCTGCGTCTGTACTCTAGGCCACTCTAGGTTTCCGTTCTCCCTTATCTAAACAAACGTTATAACTTCTGACCAGTGTCATCTGTCATGCATTTGTTTAGGACCTACGGAACGCAGACTACAACTTGCGACACGCAAGTGCGATCAGACCCATCTAGCTAATAAAAAGCAAATCTAGCAAACACTAAGCACTCTCTTTCTCCAGCGTAAGTGTCTCTTGAAACTGTGACAGGTGTTCTTCTAGTTTAAATCTTAAAAACCCCAACGTCGTCGTGCATGTCACACCCACGGCCACCAGAGGGCGCGGTGCCACCAAGGACTTTTGAAGGCTCCCTGGGTTCAGGGCAGGGACTAGGAGCGCACACGGTCACCGCCCGGCGACGCAGGCTGGCTGTGGCCCACGCACGTCGTCGCTTGGACGGTCCAGGGCTCCCCCGGCGCAGGAGCGGGGATCTGTGCGGGCGGGAGGGGGTCACGTGACTCGGGCCCACCGCGATTCTCGTGGAGCCGGAGCTCCCGCCGTGCGGCGCCGAGCCTCACCTGCAGGGGGCGCCCGCAGCAAGGCGGAGAGCAGGACGGCGGCCACCGACAGCGCCGAGAGCGCGGAGCCCGCGGCCCCGGCCTGCCGCCGCCGGCCCCGCGGAGCCCGGCCCGGGGCCAAGGCCTCCATCCACACGACGCCGCCGCCGGCCGAGCCTCGGCGCAGAAGGTCGTTACCTGGCGCGCGCCCACCCGCCGCCGGAAGCCGGCGGACGGCGTGCCGGAAGGACGGACCGGCGGACACGCTGCCACTTCCGCCCGGGCCGTCTGCGGGAGGCGTACCAGCTCGGGCGCTAGCTTGGGAGCCCATGGGGGGCGGGGAGGGGGGCGTCGCTCGCCCAGGGGGCTCCTTTGCCTTCGAGGCCGCCGCACCACCAAGGGAACCCCGTCCAGAACCCGAGTGCCTGCTCAGAGGTTCCAGGGCTGGAGGAGAACCCTGCGCCCCCCAGAGTTCTGACCTTGGGCCTCCTGGGGCGGTGGTGGAAGGGAACCCCGACCCTGGAGGTGCACCTCTGCGAGTGGCAGCCCCTGCGGGGGGAGGGGGACTCTGTGGGGTCAGCCTCTGCGGGCCTGCCCAGGGCTGCAGGTGCTGGGGACTTAACGACAAAGCACGCGCAGGCCGCCCTCAGAGTTTCTGCCCAGAGTCATCGTGTGTGCCAACGGTGTGGACTTGATCGTTGGCGTGTGGAACTCAATGGAAGACTGATGGCAGTGAGCACCTAGAAGGGATTAAAGGTCTCGCCTAAAAAGATGACATGATGGACACGATGTATGAGATGGCCGTAGATGAACTGGACTTCCATGCATCACTCAGCTTGGAAGAATCGCCTTTTGTCACCTGGGTTCAGGAAGACACACAAACAGGCCACGAACAATGAGAGCGTATTTTAAACGGGAAGATGCTCTCCATCCACTCTTCTGCCCTTGGGAGGATTGAATGATAGTTGAGCTGTTGGTAGAAATAAATCTTATATCAATATTCTTGAATAACTTAAAACGAGCCGGCTTCACTTTAATATGAAGAAATGAGTGGTACAGAGTGAACTAAAACCTCACCGACTTTTATGTTTTGGATAGACTGTGTCTAGCACCTCATGCTGAAAGGCAACCACGTGTTTCAACTTTACCTCCTGTTTAGTATTATATCTCAAAATTTCAATCATCAAAGGTGGACGTGACCACATTCTGCTTATACTTAGTAGCATACAGTTGATCTGACATATGTTTCTGGATATTGTAGAAGCGACGTTTACTAGGGGTTTTTGTTTGTTTCTATTTTTGCTTCTTTGCTTACATATTTGCTTGCTTTCTTGATTCATTTAAAGAATGTGTGAGCTGTTATCCCCCAAATTCTCATGCTTCAATTTAGTTGCAGTTTTCATGCAACACCAAATTGTCTAGTTAAAAACAACTCTTAAGTGATCTGGTACACTTAACATTTTAAACAATTTTTTTAATGTTACTACTTACCAAAATAACAAAAACTCTCATTGCTTTCATTCTGGACATTGTTGTAGCCTTAAGGAAACTGAGGATAATTTTAGGCATACAAGGATGCACCTTTACTTTGGCTAGATTTTGTGAATTTATTGCCTTAAAAAATGAGTATAATACATGTTCATTGATACAGTGTGTTTAAATTAAGCATACCAGTTTATCACATATCAACTACTTGTAGTTTGTGTCAGAGAGAAAGAGACTGTGTGTTTATTCACTAGATTAACTTGAGTATATTCTTTAAGTGACTATCTTACCCACAAAATATAAACATGGAAAATACATATATGTAGATATGTATGTGTTATTAGTTTCTTGAGTATTTGGAGAAAGAAGTGTAATAGAAATATTATTAGTACTTTTGGGGGTGGTTCCTAAAATGCATTATGATGTACATAATAAATAGTTCCATGAGTTATGGTTCTATCTATTGCCAGGCAACAAAGGTTCTTTCTTCCTTTCTTTTTTTGCTCAGCTCTGTTTCTGAAATTATTACCTCTCCCTTCAGCAGAAAAAAATTATTTTAAGATTAAAAAAATTACTAACATTTAGAAAATTGAATTAATGATTTTATGGTAGATTAACCTTAATCTTCCATTGCTGGAAATGTGGGTTCTTAATAGTTAAAGAGAAGAGAGCTATCAAAATAATTTAATTCACAATCCTCAAAAATGATGAGAAATTCCATGGATATGGAGGTTCAGAACAAACCCGGAAAGATTAGCATCCCTGAAAGGTCCATCTTCTCAGGGGCAAAGGCTGTTGAGCATCCAGATTACCCACACTACTGTGATCTCTTAAGGAAAATGAACATGCCCTTTGTGAAAGGACCCGAAGACAGACATAACTATGGCAGATTTGAAAAGAACTGCAACGCTTCGTTTTTAAAATTCCATCCTTATCCTCCTTCAGTCCTGCCAAACTACCATTCCCACTACCCTTATCCCCCACCATACGGGCCGGCATACCCACTGTTTCCACTTCGTGATGATATGAGCTTAGGCGATCCCTGCTCAGGATTTTTGAGTCCTGGTGCTGACGCTGATTTAAAGCCTGGCGTTGGCAGAACCATACCAAATCTGGCCAGTTTCGATGATGTGAAACCTCAAAATCGAGTTCCTAGGCCAGACAACGGATTTCAAACAACAATAAAAAGGCAAACAGTGCTATTAGAGGAACTACAACAGAGCAGACTATGGAATTCCAGGAAAGTACCAGACATTTCCATCAGGGCAAAACTTGGAGGTAAGTATAATAGCATAGCCTTTACATGTCTTTCGAGTGAGACAGAGCAACATGAACTTGGACTTTTTAGAATTCAAGCAGTTAGCATAAATTATAACTGGACAAATTGTTTTAATTAGATTTTAAGAAGGTCTTATTAAAATGATAAAATGTATAAATTTGCTTGTAAAATAAACTTGTTTAAATTAAAAAATCAAATATGATTTGTAGTGATCAACAACAAATATATTAACAGATAATTATTCTAGTTAGATAGCCTTATTTTACCAGAAGAGGATTTCTGTATCACTTTCATAATTGTATAGCAAGCTTCCCTCTTTGTTTCTTTCTCTTACAATCTTCTGGTTAAAACGTGAGGTTTAGGGGGCTGAAATGAAATGGGAAAGAAGATGTAAATTGGATGAGAACAGGAACTGAAGAGAAGCAAACACTCCATAAATAGCGTTATGCTTCCGAAGGCTAAATTAATGGTACTACTGCCATCTGCCCTAGTATTCTTTGGACACATTTGTAGTGAGAAATATCCCCAAAGGAAAACCACAACAACCACGTCCTGTGTAGGGAAGTGTGCATGGTAGGCAGGGAGGGAGGAATAAAAAGATTAGCATCTTTGACTGTGGGAGAAGGAAAAGGCCAAACCTGCGGCAGAGGTACTGTGGTGTCAGAAACTGCAGAATACTCCCACAGTTCATCTTCAGCTTTCATCCAAAACCGTAGAGGAAGGGAGACTTTCTGGGAGGGAGGGGAAAGTCCACCCATGTTAGCACTGTGGGGATGCAGACTTTTTGACATCCCTCCCATAGAAAGACCATTAACAAGAACAAAACAAGAAAAAGAAATCAGAATGAAAAGGGCACTCAGCAAGTCTCCAGCCTCACCCTTCAACCACTTTTAAGCTGGAAGGGAGGAGCTGAAGAGGCATAAGCAGGGAAGAGTGGTACTTTTTGTGTGTCTCTCCAGTTACGGTCTTCAAGGTGGGCTTAGGGGAAGGCCTGAGTTACAGAGTTCCTATATACAGTGTTAGTGAGGTCAGCATATTTTAAGTTGATTATCTGAAAATTCTATCTAGGCAAATATGTTACTGAGAATCAAACACACTTGTCTCAACAAAAATAAACACTATGTTAGATATTAGAAATCAAAAAAGGACCATGGATTCATTCTTTGTTAATATTCCAACACATAATAGTTTATTACCAAGAACACATAATTAAAGGAGATAGACATTTGTAGCCTAATATGCTACTTACCAAGCAAGCACAAAACCCCAGTCCAACATAGTTTTAAAGGGAATATTGTCGGTTCCTGACAGTCATTCTCACCCTGACTTCTTCATATATATATATATATATTTATATATATTTATATATATATGCATATATATAATTCTTATTTACATATCAATCCCCCATTCCCTCGCTAGTCCCCACTGACTCCCCAACCCACCCACCCCCCACCCACTCCCCAGGGATAGTGAGGCCCTTCACAGGAGATCATCCAAGTCCATCACATCATTTGGGGGAAGATCATCACCCTGAATTCTTAAAATACCATTATGAAGGAATTTAGTTTGAAGAAAGAGCCTATTAAAGGAAGTAAATTACCAAAGTGATTTTGATAAACATCATTTAGAATAAAATTTAGGGCTTATTTGGGCTGTGTATTTTACTGCTTGATTTAGAATAAAACCTCAGAGTTTAGGCTCCAATATCAAGACACCCAATCTTAAGCTTATATGTTATGTGACAGGCCTATTTAGAATTCCAAGTGTATATTTTTACTTATAAACTATTGAAAGTAATTCATAGCATGTTAATAATTACAATTTTATATGAATATGATTCATCTAAAAGAAACTAATGTGAAAAAGAAGACCAATATACCTGTAGCATAAATTAAACCCCAGAACGCTCAGTTGCCTCATACATATATTGGAAACAATTTGTCTCTTACAAAAGTATAAGAATTAAAATGTATAATGCCCAGAAGAATTTCCAGAACCTAAAGGAGCATTAAATGAGTAATAACTGTTGCTACTAATTATCATCATCATTATTATTATCCACTAGCAGTTTCAAAGAGTAATACTTGAGAGTAACAGTGTTTTAATGACTTTGAAGACCCTAGAAATGTTTATTAATCATAAATGACAAGTATGTCAGATTTCAGCAAAACCAAACTCACATCCACAATAAATCCTGACAAAGAAAGAAATCTTAGACTGAATTATAGCACATTCAATATTTTCAGTGGAGTTTTACAAATATTAAGGTGAGATCATGAAAGATTACATTGGTGGCTTTTTCCCACGCCAACACTGCCTAATTTTCTCCCTTTTTGGTTCCCAAATGGCTCTTCTTATACTCTACCAGGCAATGGTTCTAAACTCACTCTAATTATGTCTGAATCTTTACTGGACTCTTTGCCTCTCATTGGAGCAGATGGATTGGTTTTCCTTATCATAGAAAATAAGTTTGTCTGTTGTCACCTGCTGTCCTTCACTTTGGACTCCAGCTGATACTAATATTTAAGCCCTGTGTATATCTTTCCATCTTTCTAACCATCTTTTTCATCTTTCCATCTTCCCAAGGTTAACTATTTTACCTTAGGCATTTATAAAGTATATAGAGAAGACTGTTTGGTTGAAACAACAGTCACTTTATTCTCACAGTGATAGAGGGTGAGAAATCAAAAGCCAATCAGTCTGGAGATTTACCTCTTCACGAAGCCTTCCTGGATTGCAGAAAGCTGCCACTCCCTCTTTTTGGTGACAGAGAAAAAATATCCTCTGTGAATAATCATTGCCATTATGAAAGTAATGTAAGCAATAATGTTATGTGTTCTAACCAGTGGTTCATAAACATTTTGAACACTTAAACTGCATGACACAAATTTGGCTCACTCTGTGATATTCTTGTATTTCTTCTTTAAATACTTATAACAGTAAAGATGAAGGACATACAGCTCATAATAGTCAAAACAACTCCATCTGACTAAAAAATGCATTCATTATTGGAACCCAGAATAAGCTGGGTGGAGCAGAGTGGAATTCAGAGATAACATTTGTCAACATCTCTGTCCACATAGTTCCCAGATTTTAACTTCTGGATCTAAGGTTTGTGAAGTGCATTAATTCATGGAGAAAAACTCAGATTAGAGGACAAAGAATAGTTTTCTTTCCCTAGGGTATCTCAGAAGGATTGTCTGTGGAAACTACAAGAGCTCTTACAGCATCATCACTTCTGTTAATCAGCTGGGTAGTCCCTAGTGATTTCTGGAAGCTTTAAGACTCTAATTAAAATGCTCAGAGAAACCCATCTACAATCTAAGAGCAAGGCCTTCCTGTGCTGACCCTGCCTTCTCCTGCTCTTCCACCATTCCCTCCCTGACACTGCACAGCGGCTATAATGAACGTTCTGTAGTTTCCTATCAGCGTTGTACTTTCATCGCCCTGGCTAGTTCTATACGTGCTCTTTCCCTGCATGGCACAACTGCTTTTCATCCACTTCCCCTTTTTAAAAATTTAAGTCCTATTTAATTTTCAAGATTAGATCGGTTGTCATCTTCAGGAAGATGTTCCTAACTCCTGACAATCTGGTTGGACTAGATAACCCTTTTCTGCAACCTCACAGAACTCTGGGCTCCACTATTGGCACAGTTGCCACATAGTGGTTTCAGTACTCATGTGTATAAATTTTCTGCTTGCTCATCAGTCCCTCAGGACCAACTTGCATTTCATCTTGGTATACCCATTATTTTCTACTTACATTATGGAGAATACTTTGAAGGCTATATTTTTGTTAAATATATAGCTAGTGTCTTAAGATTTCTCATCTATAATTAGATGGATTGTCTACGTAGTATCCAAAACTGATTTCTTCTACTACCATCCCTAGTATGTACACACACACTCACTCACCACTATACATACACACAGATTCCTAGTGTTCAACAGCCCTCTTATAATAGCAATTTAAGCATCCAATTCTCTCCCTTGCTGTAATTTGCTAAGTACATAAATCTCAGAAATATTGTGTCTTCATAGCAATTCACACTGCAGAGATCATCCTTACCCAGTTCTCTCAAAGATGTAGCTTTCTAGTGGGGGGATGTTGGGAGTTTTGTTGGTTGGGTTTTGGAGATGAATAATAGTTTACTGTCTTGATTCCTTCATGTCATGAGTTGGACAACTTAGCTAATATATTAATTGGCTATGTAATTCATTTCAATTCTATCTAAAAAAATAACGACCAAAACTAAATGGGAAAGTTATTTCTATTTGAACATGCATAATGTTAGATGGGGATGTGGAAAGGAAAGAAACCTGATGGGTATCAGCAGAAGTAGAACTGTGCTTTAATTAGAGCGGCTGAGAGGCCACAGTCTGTCTGCAGAATGGGAGCTTGTGTGCATGTGGTGTGTGGGTCTTGAGGCTTCAGAGGACAAAAAGGTGGGTTGGGGGGACTTTGGAGATAGAAGAGCCCATCTGCATGTCGGCTTCCCTGCAGTCTGGAAGTGGCAGATACCAAGGGTTTGGTATGTGGTCATCCTTATCAGAATTCTGCACAGGTCTTATCAGTCAAGTCAACTGTCCCATCCAAAGTTTCTCATCCCACCTTAGGCTTCTAGTTCATGAACCCTTCATTCTCAACTCTCAGGGCAGATAAAAAGAAGGGGTGAATTTTTTCTTATTGGCTTCTTACTTCAGACAATAGGACAATGGGTGAGGGGCTAGTTTCTGTCCCCAGGCTCTAAGGAAGCATCAGTTGGCTTGATTTTATATAGCACAGGAGAGTCACAACTTGATCAGCTGTAATAAATCATGCTATTATTGCCTTCATGCACTCATAGAGAAGCCTCTACACAGTAAGAGGCTGAAACAGATGATTTGGCTACAGAGTGAAACTGGGAGATTGCCCAGAAAGGTGGAATGGGAGGAGGATTAGCAGTAGGAGACACAGAGGTGAGTCTCTAAAAGGGGGTGGGTGTCAGTATCTGGGGGTCCCCAGATAGTGGAGGAAGGATTCATTTATGTCTCAGATAGCTATAGGTATTTGGCAGGAGTGAATTAGGTCAGAATGGGAAGAATTCCAGGAAAAATGATAGACTTGAGGAGAAAAATATCTTGTCAATTGTGATTTCAGAGTCTGAGGTAGTAAGAGACTGGAAAAATCAGACAGGATCAAGGAGATAACATTTGACTAGAATTATGCGATTATGCATGTCTTATCTATGTGTTTTGTTCTTAAAAGAAGATGTAAACATTTTTAAGCTCAAAAACTCATGTTAATTGTTCCAAAGAAAGATTCAGGACAAGTAACCATTATTAAACTTAGTTTTACTATGAACAAAATGAAGTTGAGCCAAACAACCTTAGTTTACATGAGCACTTATAAGTCAATTTGTTAATAAATACATGATGTTAAAAAAATCACAATCACGTGTGGACAGTCTATATGGAAAAATCATAAATAGCATATGCTTTAACAAACCAATATTTGAACACTACTGTTTGCTGGGGTTATGGTTTTATAATTTTCATTGTGAAGGGAAAACTCAAAACATATTGTTAGATTAGGCAGAAACAAAAGCAGACACATGTCAATGGAGTATTGAGGGGAAGAATGTTTTATGGCAGTTATAAGAAAATGGGCCTGAAGACATCAGACAAAAATAGCAGACAGTGTGACCTGGCAGAACCTACTGCAGTGACTCCTACTGCAGTGACTCCTGCTGCAGTGACTCCTGCTGCAGTGACTCCTACTGCAGTGACTCCTGCTGCAGTGACTCCTGCTGCAGTGACTCCTGCTGCAGTGACTCCTGCTGCAATGACCCCTGCTGCAGTGAATCCTGCTGCAGTGACCCCTGCTGCAGTGACTCCTGCTGCAGTGACTCCTTCTTCAGTGACTCATTGCTGGCAGCAGCTTGTCTAGCAATTGGCAATTCATCCTTTGAGTCTCCACTGGAACCTGTGAATCTCAAGACTGCTAGCTCCCTGTGTTAGTATGCCAGTGGACAGGGAAAAAATAGATTCTCCTTAGAAGCCAACAACTGTATTGTATAAAACTAACAAATTTAAAACCAAAACATTATAAAATAAGCAGCATTTTTAAAGTTTGATGGTCTCTCTTATACATAAAGAGATATGGGACTATGAAGTTTTATGGGTACCATCATTTTGGTTTGTGTCATATAGTGATGTTTAACAAAAATGGTGGTGAAGTCTCATGACATTTGCCTTTATGCCAACATTAGCAAAGATTGACGCCCAGACACTTGGTTGTGTTCATCTTGATGAACTCCCTAGCCAAGGTGGCAGCAAACCATGGTTGTTTTTTTCTGCTCAAGTGAAGCCAGCCACAAGGTAAAGTAAGCCCACCCTCCACTGTGGAATCCACATCCAAAGGCAGTGTGTCAGCCTAAACGGCATAGAAAAATTCACTAACACAGTATGTTCTGCTTTTGGTGAGAGGAGTTGGGGGGGAAGCGAGAGTGGGGGGTGCTCAGTCAGATTAGAAGTTTGAGTGAGCAAGCCTGAAATACAGAAATGGAGAAATAAGGCAAAAGACCGGAGTGGAGGTGGAAAGGAGACTTGAAGGTGGGGGCCTTTAGGCCTTTAAGTGTTTTATCTACTGAAGTTATCTAAATCAGTGAGGATCTGGAGGCAGAAACTCTTCCAGGTGTGGCCATTGTCTAATTAACAGGGCCAGATCTGAATTCAAAGCTCATGAGCAAGACAGTAAATCTAGATTTGTTTTTAAGACTATTGTTTTCAAGTATAATTTGTGTTAGTTTCAATGTAATAGCCCCCATAAGCTCATAGGGAGTGATACTAGTAGGAGATGTGGCTTTGTTGAAGTAGATATGGCCTTGTTGGAGGAAGTGTGTCACTGTGGGGGCGGGCTTTGAGGTTTCCTGTGCTCAAGACACTGCCCAGTCTGAGTTCACTTCCTGTTGCCTTCTGATCAAGATGTAGCCGGCACCATGTCTGCCTGCATGCTGCCATGCTCCAGCCATGATGATAGTAGACTGAACCTCTGAAACCATACGTCAGCCAGCCAAGTTACATGTTTTCCTTATAATGGTTGCTGTGGTCTCTTCACAGCAAGAGAAACCCTAAGAGAGATGTTTAGAGAAATCTGTGCAATAGATGAAACTGTACGCAAAAACCATGGAAAATGACAGAAGTCTGCTAAAGACAAAAAGGTCATAGGTTAAGCAATGGCTAATTAACCTAAGAAAGGCTTGTAGCAATGTATGAGTTAGATTATGCTTCTCTAAACTGCATGAAGTGGTTACAGACAAGCTTGTCTAACGCCGGCATTTAAAATAAGGCAGATCCATAGCAGACCAAAGAAGAAAGCCAAATGGCACCAGCCAGGTGTTAAAATGGTTTGCCTCCAGTTTTCTTCAATGGATTATTCCCGAGAGCGGTTTAGAAATGGCTCCACTATACTAAATAAGCTTTATAAAAGAACATGAGAGTTTGTTTCCAAGATATTCTTAAAGCAGAGTTTCACCCATGGACCCACATATCCTATCTGTGGGATAAATTAATCACTATTATTTACTTCAGCTGTGGTTTGTACCTTCTGTGGCTACATCTGCAGCTCAAAGTGGACACTGGTTTTACTACAGATGGCAGATATCCACAAACGCCATATAGTGTGCTTAGATTCTGTGTCTTTGCTCTAACACAATTTAAAGTCTGTAAAATTTGGTCAGCATGCACACTTCTTGTCGCGTTTGATGTGCGCAGCCAAGGTGGCAATTGGAAAAATGACCAACTAGTCCACAGCACTAAACTCTCGCTAGGACTATGGGCAGTTATCACACACATTTTTAATTTGTAATCTTACCACGCATTCCATGCTGGTTAAACATCAAACTAAACATACAACTTCCAGAAGTTTTGTTACAGTTTCATGCACATTAACTAAATGTTTCTAATGGGAGAAAAAGTATTGCTATGTTTTTTTGTTTTGTTTTGTTTTTTTGTTTTTTGTTTTTTGTTTTTTTTACCTAAAATGCCTGAATTTTTGGTTTTCAGGTTGGACAAGTCCGCAGAAAGTCACTCCTTTACCAGCTGATGATCACAAAAGAAGCTCATTAAGTCGCATACTTACATTTGATGAGGAGGCAACAAGTCCAGTAAGATTTTCTCAATAGGTAGAAGTATATAATATAGTTTGTAGCAAACTGCCAGTGTTTGCAGCTAAGGCACTACACTACTTCACAACTATCTGATCCGAGGCCAAGAGCTAAGGATGTAAATGAAGACAAAGGAGAATGGCATTTATTTTAACCAGGGTGGAGCCTTATATACCAAAGGCAAGTATGGTGGAAAAAGCACCAAGGTCAGAAGCCTACATTCCCAGGGCCCTCCGGCAAAGGGTGGGCCAAAAAACAGGAATTAGCATTTAGACAAAGTATGGACGGAAAACAGGAACTTTCACACAAGCCTTACTGGGAGGAGGGGACTAGAAGTATTTTGCTAAAAGTTTCTAGTCGAAAGCAGTCAACAGATGCCCATGGGGGAAGGGTGCAACAATAGTTTGTTTATATTGTCACATGTGATTGGTACTTTCTTCTCCAGGAAAAAAATAGTCATTCACAAAGTGCATCCCTTTTTAGCTTTTAAAACAATTAAAACTCTTTTAGTTCAGTTAGTATCAAAATGTATAAATAACATAACAGCAACCTTAAAATGCTTCATCTGCAGAGAATTGCTTTTCACATAAGGATCATCCTTTCTGTATCCCAGTACAGCACACAATAATAGTTCTTAGTTTCCTACTCCATAAAAAGGGGGCCCGTCAGAGTGAAGACTTCAAAAACCGATCCACATGATGATAATATAAACATCTTTACCTTAGCTGGCTACATAAGGAAGGCATCCCATTGCATACGTGAGTTATAATTTAATTATTCTTTCTTAATATGTAGGTCAGGTTCAATTTTGTGTACTCCATGTCATCATGCAATTATAATTACATGTATTGTTTCATACACTCTTTGTGTCTGTGTGTGTGTGTGTGTGTGTGTGTGTGTGTGTGTGTGTGTGTGTAGTAACAATTGAGAAATTATTGAATTCTGGATTATGGCAAAGATCATAATTTCCATGAAATTCTGAATTTTAAAAACCATGAAAACAGAAAAAGGGAAGAGTAGCTCCAATTGAGAAACACAATTCCTAGCTCTGTTGGTGGTGCACCAGCAGATTACACATGGTTATAGAGATAATTTGGTATGAATAAATAAATCAGAAGAAAGTGTATGTCAGGAAGCACAAATGCACAAAAAGGTAAAAATAGGGAAGGTCTGGAACAGAAAACAAAGAAGATGCACTTATTGGAGTCCCAGAAACAGAAATAGAATATACAGCTGCTTACCTATGTTTTTCTGGGGATTTCTGAGGCAGTCTTTCACATTTTGTCCTGTACATTAAATAGATGGTCTGAGACAAAAGTAACAGCAAGAGCACCATTTCTGTCAGTGTCAGCCCTAACAACATTGACCACAGCAGGTGTGTCCATGAAAATCATGAGAACAAAGTAGCAAACTTCTGAAAGTTCACTGTTTTATACAGTGTACAGTGATTGCATAATCTACAATCTGGAAAACAGTAGCCATCTTTTGTTTTATGGTGTTTGAACATGAAGAAAGTCTAAGAAAATATAAGATATTTGCAGTGAAGATATTTGTGTTACTAAGGAATTTTATTTTGGGTGTTGCTAGTATCACATTAGGATAAATGTAAATATAGTTCTGCTTCAGCTTCAATAGAGTTGTCAGAAGTTCCTAAAAGACATGGAAAGTCAGGATCTCTGCTGGTCAGTTCCCAAGAACACAAAGAAGACTCCAACAGATGTCATGAGGAGAATAATTTCAGAAAACCACATAGGTAATACATCTGAGAACATAGACTTCAAAAAAATTTCATGAAGAAACTAGGACACAAAGCATTTAGAAATAACATATAAGACCACAGTCAGGATGTAGAAGATTAATAGTCCAATTTTTGGTTTTTCAGAATACCAATGACTTACCAAAATGATGGTCAACAAGAACATGCTCCCTAGAACATGATGAGACATGAAAGTACTCAAGAGAAAGTTGAAACACACATTCACAAGTCATTGTCTCCCTTATGAAGACCAATATAAAATAGGAGACAGATGTCAGTCTTCAGGGAGTTTCATTGTTAAGAGGAAGAGAAAATTGGCATTTGATGAGTTTCCCATTCCACAAATTGGGAGCCATTTTCATATTTAAATTTCTGAGATTTATCTTTGTATGGCTCAGAATTAGTGTTGTGTTGGAAATATTTATATTTTAGAAAATAAAATAGATACAATTTGTGAAATAAACATTAGCTTAAAGAAATACAAACATTTTGTTTGTGTCAGAAATAGCATTCAGTTACATTAAATTTTCTTAAATAAAGTGATTATATTGTCAAGAAGATGTGTACATTGACATTATGCATAAAATCACAACTTTCTGAAGCCATGATCTTTCCATGCAGCATTGGCATTGATGATATACTCATACTTACTTGAAGAATATAACTTATAATGTAAGCTCTAGAATACTCATTATTAATTTCATAAGACAGTGTTGTAAAAGAAAATTTCAGAGTAACAAAAATTTATGAATAAAAATAAGATTTGCTAGAATTTTGGTGCTTAGTCATTTATAGAATTAATATCATTTATATATAATAAAATTGATAAAACAAATACTCATGTATTAGGATTTTAATTTTAATTTATTTGTGTGGAGGTTGGTATGCAAGGGCCTGTGGAGCCCAGAACAGGACATTAAATTCCCTGGAGTTGGGATCACCAGCAATTGTGAGCCACCTGGTGTGCTGATGTCAGTGTTAGGAACGAAACTCTAGTAGTCCTCTGCCAAAGCAACACTTGTTCTTGACCAGCTTGCCATCTCCTTACAGCCAAGATTCATTTTTTAAACGTTGAAACTATCAATCCAATAATTTACAGAATAAAAAACAAAGTCAGGGCATATAAAAGGAAATCCATGCCATCACCTCCAGGGGAAAGCAAAACAAAACAAATGCAATGATGATTTCTTGAAACAGCCAGTTCAAGAGAATCATTCTCCAAAGCCATTGCAGATCCTTCTAAAAATAACAGAAAGTAGGTAGTGCTAAAATCCCATCACTGCTGCGGTCCAAGTCACGTCGTTACTATCATTGCTTCATCACTCTGCCACTTAGAATTCTATTACCCTGAAGTGCACTTTAGAAATGTTAGTAATTCAAGATATTTTAGTCAAGATCAAACAGTTTATCCTAAAGCAGACAAAACTAAATAAAATATAAGTTATTCATTAGTCGGTAGGGAAAGAAACACTGTGATCAGAGATATAGGCAAGAATGAAGAGAAAAAATATAGTAAGTGCATGGCTAGTATAAATGACTATCAAATAATAGTAACAACTTTCTGGGGTTTAAATGCATGTATATTGAATGAAAATATAAGTGAATAATTAATCTGAAGGAGGATCAGAAGTTAAATGTAGAAGTGTTTTTCATCTTTCTTGAGGGAAGAATAAAAGCACTAGTTATATTTAATGCTCAAAAATATGTTTTCACATCGCAGTTTGCAGATTAAGCAGCAAAAAACAACAGAATTCATTGAATAACAGAAAATCAACCCAAAAAAGTTAAAGTAAAAAGACTATAACAAAGGCATATAGATCATGGAGAACACATGAGGCAGTAGTTTCAAACTCAGAGTCAGAAATTACTTTCTATATAAAATGTTAATGCCACAGTTAAAAGACAGATTGCCTGAATTCCTGGATATAAAACAACTGCTTACCCTACTAGAAACAAAAATTCACATGTAAGATTTTAAGCATTATGGGAAATGGCATACAAAACTATGAAAAATAATACATACCTATACCTTTTTCCAGGAGTGTTTATGCAAATTACTATGGACAATGTCATAAGACACGTCTCTACAAATTACATTTTAACTCAAATTACATTTAGTCTATGAGCATCAAACAATCATAACAATACAAAACACCCTTCCAAATCATGGATTTAGAAACAGGAAGATGTGTTTATGGATGAACCATCATCCAAAGACTTAACAACCATAAGAGAATCTAAAATGTGTTCAAAATGAAAATCAAAATGTTGTAGTCAAGTGTGTAGCCAGCAACTGAAATCAACCCTGGAAGACAGGACCTGGCTTTCAAGTGTATTGTAGAACATAAGAAAAACTGTCAATTCAAGAAATAAACAATATACATATCAAGAAAGTAGAAAGTAGGGGGAAATCAATTTATGAACAAGTACAGGAAATGAAAAATAAAGATACAGAAAACCGATGTACGATTATTCTTGTTACAGTTTGGTTCTTTACAAAACTGATCTGAGACCCTGCTCCTCTGGTAACTCATTTCCCTGTGCTGTCAGATTTGTGTGAAATTGAACCTTTGTCACAGAAGCTTCTTATAGAAGTGGGTAGGGGTTAATACAGAGAGTCTTTACTGTTCAAAGTACCATCCTCCCCAGCCTCCTACCATATCGCCACTTCCTTCCACATAGGGGATATCCAGAGTCTGTCATTTCACTCAGGGTAGGGTCCAGGCACTCCCCTAAGAGTCCAGGCAGAGAGAGTATCCCTCTTTGTGCTATGGACACATGAGGTCCATTTGTATTCCAGGGATAAACACTGATCTACTGCCCAGGGCCCCATAGGTTGTTCAGGCCTCCTCACTCTGACTCTCACACTCAGGGAGTCTGGATCAGTCCCATTCTGGCCTCCCAGCGTTCGGGTCTGGGGCCCAAGAGCTCCCCCTTGTCCAGCTCAGCTGTCTCTGCTAGTTTTGCCAGCCCATTCTTTGCCAATTTGCTCATCACTCCTCTCTCTCTGTCACTGGGTTCCTTGGGTTCAGTTCAGTGTTTAACTGTGGGTGTTTGCCTCTGCTTCCATCAGTCACTGGATGAAGGTTCTAGGATGGCATATAGTGTAGGCTTCAAGTTCATTATCAGGAATGGGAATTTAAAGTAGTCTCTACACTATTGTTTATCTTGCCAGTTGGTGTTAACCCTTTAGATCACCAGAGGTCTCACTGGTGCCAGATCTGTCTTCTAACCTATGACTCCC